GTGTGTGTGTGTGTGTGTGTATGTGTGTGCGTGTGTGTGTGTGTGTGTGTGTGTGTGTGTGTGTGTGTGTGCGCGCGCGTGTTGAGCAGGGGTGGGGCAAATTGGTAGGGGAAGCAGAGTGGAGGGTAGGAAGGGTTTGTAGTGTGAGAGGGGGGATTGGTATTGGATGCATATGTGTGTGTGTATGTGTGTTTGTGTGTGTATGTGTGTTTGTGTGTGTTTGTGTGTGTGTGTGTGTGTGTTTGTGCGTTCTTGCGTGCTTGCAGTTGTGTCAGGTGAGAGGGGAGAGCAGGGTCGCTTGAGTGGGTGGTTTGGGGGGATGTGGGGGTGTCAGCGCAGGGATACGCACTCATGCACGTGTCGTGACTGCGTGTGCATGGGCGTGCTGGAGCGGGAGTGCGTGCGTATATGTGTACTCAGTCACACACGTGGCACCAGCAGGGTTTGCTTGTAGCTCCACCCGTTTCTCCACAAGCAAACGCCGGCTGCTGCCGTTTGTCAGCCATCAAAACCAACAGCATGCTCCTGACGCCCGGCGCCATAATGTCTGGCAAGACCCCTCACCTTCTGGCCGCCGCGGCGACCTTATCAAGCGGCGCCCCACACAAAGCCGGAGCACTCGCGCCCCCGTTCCAGCCAAACTACATACCTGCAGCGCTGAACGCCAAACCACAGCACCCAAAATAAGCACCCGTTCTGACGACCTCCTGCAAGAACAGCCAGGGAATCTCACAAGCGCACCTCAGTAAGCTTGTACAGGTCAGCGATGGTGCGCACTGTGCCGGCCTCAAACAGCGCCTTCACACGCGCCTCGCCCAGGCCCTTCACGCACCTAGTTATTTGAATCCGAACATGTGAAGGGACCGGGATCAGGGGATCAAGGTGTGAGAGAGAGCGAGTATGACGGTCGTCAACGGCACTGCTGGATCTCCCCCCCCCCACTTCCGCTGGGGCCAGCAACCGGAACCCAGAGGGCCCAAGGGCGCCGGGCGCAGAGCCAGCAAACAGCGACGGCGGCGCAGCGCGGCGCCGGCGGAAGGGCGACGCTTCGTGGAACAAAGCGGCGGCCCGCCCACCCGCCCGCCGCCCGCTGCGGGCCGCGTTGCGGAACGCGGGGTGGAGGATTCGGCTCCACGCGCCACGCCCGATGCAGCGGGCGCGCTCCTGTAACCCAGGCCGCTCACTTGTCGGCCCAGTACAGCAGCGCTCGCTCCACCTGGGCGGCGCAGGCGGGGTTGACGCACACGAGCGCGTAGGCGCCAGACCCCTCCTGGCGCTGCAGCGGGGCCATGCAGGCGGGGCACTGGGTCGGGGGCTGCAGGGTGGTGCCCTGGGAGCTGGGGTTGGTACCTGTGGGCACACGGCCCATGACCTAGTGTGTGCGTGTGAGCCGGGGGGGGGAGGCGCAATGCTTGTGAGATTGCGTGCTGTGCTTTTGTGCATGATATAGCAACCCCTGGTTCCATGGGAAGTGTCGTCACGCAGCCTCGCAACCAAGTAAGCAACATGCATCTTCGGTTGGAGTCCCTTCTAGCGTGAACGCCATGTTCCCCCCTCACTCGTCACCCCCGCCTCCAGAATGCTGTCACCGCACTCCTGAGCCATCACCAATTCACCCCTCTTCAGCGGCCCCCCTGGCACCCTGCACGGTGATGTCACCACTCCCTCCCTGTCAGCACCCCGACGACCCGACAACTAGGTCGTTCCATTCCCCCTCCCCCCCACCTGCGGGATGATGTCACCAGACCGCCGCACCCTGACCTCGCAGCCCACTGAAAGCCCGAGGGACTCGAGGTGGCCCGCGCTGTGCAGCGACGCGCGGCGCACGGCTGCGCCGCCGATGCGGACCTCGTCCAGCAGCGCCACGGGGATCACCTGCCGTTTGTTAGGGTTTCAGGGTTTAGGGTCTCAGGGTTTTCGACCCCTCCATCGGTGGAGGCGAAAGGAGTGGAGTGCGCCGTGGGAGTTGTGCGAGACAGGGGCCGGCGCGGGGGTGGGGCCAGATATGTGGGGGGTGCGCCGCCGCGAGCAGGGGTGGAAGGGCGCGGCGCCGCCGCGTTGTTACAGCAGGCGCGCCTCTGCGCCCGCGCGCCAGTGCAGGGCGACCCAGCAGCCTTGTAACCCCCGCGACCGTCCGCGTTGACAGCACCACCGCACCAGGCCGGTGCGGCCGACGTTCCACTCGATGCCCTGCAGGCGGGTCACAAACTCCTTGGCCGGAAACTTCCACGCCAGCGCCCACCGCGGGTCCCTGATTGGGTCATCGAGGCAGAAATGGTGGATCTGAAACGAGGGCCCGACAAGACAGTCAATATCGGCCACACTTCAGTGGATTCTTTTTTTCATCAGTCTCTGCTTTGTCAAGTGCTTGCTACCATGGCAGCCGCGCAGGGCGGGACGAGCCCGTGGCTTGCCGGCCAGCGGTCGGCCTTGGGTGCGCCGCTGCGCCCACGCAGCCGCAGCCCACAGGTTTTTTGCCTAAGTCCCGTGTGAGTGGTGGTCTGGCGACATGAAGCTGGGCGGAAGCTGCCCCGCACCTGTCAACGGCCCCCAGCCGGGCCCACAGCGCCAGGTCGTCGAGCTTGAGCACACAGCCATCAGAGTCATAGGCTGAACGGATTGGCGAGTGTAAGGGTTGGGCAGTCGAACAACGAATAGGCAAAGTCGCACATGAACAGGCAGAGTGTTGCCGATGTGCGAGAGAGAGAGTGTGTGTGTGCGCGCGCGCGCGCGCGCGTGCGTGGGCGCGCGCGTGCGAGAGTGTACATGAGGCTGCAACGGTATGGAGCACGCCCGAAAGTAAGACAGGCACGGAGCCATGCGCGGCATTACAAATCAGCAGCCAGCCAACCGCGGCCTATCGCTGCGGCTTCCCAGCGCACACAGCCCAAGCACCATCTCATGCTCGTGCTCAGGCCCCCAACCACACCCGCACCCATGCGCACGCCCCCAAATCGCTCACCCAGCTCGCCCCGCGCCCGCATCCAGTCCTCCGCCGCCCCCACCGCCGCCACCAGCCCTTGGCACACTTTTGAGTCCTGACTGACCGCCACGCCGGCGGCGCCGAGCCAGGCCAGGCTGGCGCTCTGCCTGGGGGGCAGCAGGGGGCTGCCAGTGGTGACGGCGGCGTCTGCGTCAGGCAAGGGGTCCTGGGGCCATGCGGGCCGTCCGTCCAGGGCAGGCGGCGGCGTGGCAGAGGAGGGCGATGCAGGGAGAAGTCAGGGATGAACTGAAACAATCTCATGGCATCCCCTAGCTATCTGACCCGGCTGCGGGTCGACTCATTCGATACCAAGCTGACGAGGATGTGGAACCGTGGGGCGGGGCGTTTCGGGTCGATCTCCACCGGGGCTGCACCGCCGGCGCCAGCGCCGGTCGGCGCGCCGCGGCGAACGCCCCGTCCATGACAGCGACACGCAGCCTTTCAGCACCAGCTCCCCAGACCCCCTGCTGACCAGCCGACCGGGGCTTGTTTTCCCGCGAAGGCGCGCCGCGCCTCTCACCTTTCCGCCGCCGCCGGCCGCCCCTGGCACGAGCAGCTGGTACCCCAGGAAGCTCAGGCGCCGCGTTGCCGCCTCTGAAGGGTCCAGCAGCCGCATCGACCCGGCCGCCGCGCTGCGCGCGCAGTCGAAGGGCCGCTCGCCCGCGGCCGCGCGCGCGGCGTTGAGCTGGGGGCGGGGAGAGGGACCATGCAGGGATTGCAAGGTGCAGGGTGCGTGTCGATGTGTGCATGTAAGTGTGTGTGGGTGTGCGTGTGTGTGAGCCTGTGTGCGTGTGAATGTGTGCACGCACGCGCGCGTCCGTGTATATCTGTGTGTTTGCATGTGTGTATGTGTGTGTGTGTGTGTGTGTGTGCGCGCGCGCGAGGGGCATGTTTGGTAGCGTCCACAAGCCAAGCGCTGGCTTTGGCAGTCAGTGCGCGCAGCTGGGACATAATCGTCATAAACAAGGCGACCGCGAACAACGCGACCAGTAACGCCCATTCCAGCGTCAAACGACCCATCCAGCTTGGGCCAATGCTGTGCCGGCAATCGAACCGGCAGTTCTGAACACCCCTCCCTTGCCAACAAGGCCTCACCGCCGCAAAGTCGCCTTTGGTCATGAAAACCTCCCCCCTGACCTCCAGCTCCCGCGGCAGCTTCTCGACACCTTCGGCCCCACCGCGCCCGCCCTTGCCCCTACCCCTGCCCCTGCCCCCGCCCCTGCCGCCGCCGCTGGTGGCCCCCGGCGCGGTGGCCTTGGGGACAGCCGACAGGTTGAGCGTCAGGGGCAGGCCGCTGATGGCGCCTGTGAGGGCGTTATGGGTGACATCCTCCCCCTCCTTGCCGTCCCCACGCGTGGCGGCCAGTACGAGGGCGCCGTCCCTGCGGCGTGAATGGGCGTGGCGGGGGGGCCAAGGTGGCATGAGGGTATGCAAGGCAGCGTATTTTCTGAAGGGAAGCAGGCTGAGGGAGCAGCAATCTGCGGCCACTTTCTCCCGGCGAGAGAGGCAGCCGCTGGCTCCCTTTCAGCGTGCATGGGGATGCAGCACGCGTCGTCACCAGAAAGAGCCTTCTGGACGGACCGCTGCGGACCCTCATCAAGCACATGCGTCCCACCCCTCACACACATATGCGCGCGCGCACACACACACACACACGCACACACGCACGCACACACCTGCATGCGCGCCCACACAAACACACACACGCACACACCTACATGCGCGCCCACACACACGCAAACAAATCATGCATACGCACATGCGCGGCTGCGCCCCCTTCCACAGGATGATCAACGGCCAACCCAACGCAATCACACACACCACACATACGTGCACACCCATACAAATCGCACCCCCTCCCACCTGTACACCGCCCGCACCGCCAGGCCGTCAACCTTCGGCTCAATGACAAACACCTCCGCCCCCGCGTCCACCCCCTGCCTCTCCAGCTTCTTGGCCCATCCCAGCACTGCCTCCTTGTCTGCCGCCGCCGGCAGCGACAGCATCGCCGTCTCGTGGCGCACCTTGCGCGCGCCAGGCGCCACGTCGACCGGCGCGCCCTATTCGTTTGGGGGAGAAGAGTCGGGTGGTTCGTCCCCCATGCGGTCCGCAGGTGACATTGGGGGGCGCAGGTGCCGTGTGCTGCGCTGCCGTGTGCTGCGAGCATGCCGCGTGAAGTCAAAGAGGGGCGTGCGCGACGGCGGCGGCAAGCAGGCAGGGGCCGCGCTGCGTGCCGCGCGCCGCGGAGGACCCCAAGCTGAGCGCGCGGCTGCATTCGCGGGGCGAGCTCACCACAGCAGTCAGCGGCGTCGAGGCGAGCGCCCGCGCCGCGCGCGCATCCCCCGGCCGCTCGGCGCGCAGCCGCGCCTCGAGCGCGGAGAGCTCTGATCTGATCTGGTCAAACACGTCGTCCGACACGACGGGCGCGCCGGCGTAGTAGGCGGCTGCCCACTCGCGCACTTGCCGCTGGCGCTCCTCCACCGATGAGATGAGGTCGGGGGCGATGGGCGGCAGTGGTGCGGCCGTGGCCGGGACGGCGACGGCGGCGGCGGCGCCGCGCGGCGGCGTGGCCGCGCGGCGGCGGCGCGTGGGCGGGCGCTCCTGCTCCTGTTGCTGCGCGCTGGGCGGTTCGGGAGCTGCTGCGGCGTCGCGGGTCGTGATGGCGGCGCCGCGCTTGGCGGCGGCGGCGCAACATAGAGCGGCCGCATGGCGTGCAGGCCACAATAGGAGTCTGTTGGACGGAGCCACGCCAATCGCAGCTGCATGCGGGCACAGGGGCGAGGGCGTCCCGGTCTTCAATGGTTGTAACCGAGGCAGCCCTGCCGACCATCCCCAGGTCCAGGGAGGTGCCTTCGATGGGTTCACCTGCCATAACATGCTGTATATGGCACGCACAACTCTCATTGGCTATGCCGCTGGGTGCGGCCACAACGATCTGGTGGTTGGGGCAACATGATATGCAATGAAATATATCAGAGCATTCCGAGGCAATGGCAGACCAGCTGCAAGCCTCGGCGTCGCAGGACGTGGTACTTTGCTGCACACCGACGCTGTCACTCGCCGCCCACATCGCAGTTGCCGGCCCCGCGCGCCCATGGGGCCTTGGTGCGACACTGGAGTCCGCATTCTCAGCATTGATTCCCAAAGGCTCGTTTGACCAGCTATGAAGCCAAATACGGCAGGTCCCACCCTATGGCTTAGTGGCGGCGACCAGCACTCGCCTTGCACGCACTCACCCATGGCCCAGCGCCGTACGGCACAGTGCATGCCCTTCGCGAAGTGTGCCTGGTCAGCAGCTGGGCTGTCTCCAAGGTGTTGCGGAAGAAGACTGGGCACACGCCTGCCTTCTTTGACTGCCTTGTGCCAGCGTCGTGATCGGCGCCCAGACAACTAGGCGCGCGAGCAAATGCTACTTTTGTTCTCAGGTTTATTGGCGGCCATGTGCTGCCAATAAATTCTAGGGAAATTGAACTCCTGACATGAGCGGCACAGGCGCAGTGCAGAGTGCGCTTGGCGAGCAGTGCACTATGCAGGGATCGGCCGAGCACGGTTCGCTGAAGGTCAGGCAAGCTGAGTCCCTGATCAAAGATGGAGAAGACAACGACATGTCTGAAACACGTGCTTTTAGCTTCGAGCACCTCCGCCTTTGCGCTTCTGTATGCCACGTCGATTCAACTCGCCTTGAGGTTGAGAACACCCCTCGCCAGAAAACGGCGCCGACCACGGTACGGCAACAATGAATAAAAATCGAAATTGTTGTCTTCGCACTAGAGAAACAAATGTAGACATTGGGCTGGGCCTCTGACGCCATTCATAATGTTGACCATGATTTTGCAGCAGTGCGTGTTTGCTCTGCGTTCCTGTGTGTCGGCTACGCCATCGTGATGAGTGGCTCAAGGTGTAATCTGTGACAGGGGCAGGCGTGGGGATGCGTTGCCCCGGTCTGTAATAGGCAGGGGGAGCGGCGAGTGACCTCAAAATCCAACGCAGCCAAGCTTTACCCGCAACCCGCCCCTGATGACAATGTTTGCAGGTGAAGGCTATGCCTTCATTGCGCAATAGTCTACCCGGGCCGGCTTTTGCTGCTTGATGTTACAGAGGGGTGTGTTGATTCATGGGAGGCAGCAGGATGAATGGAGTGGATGCAGCTGCTCAATCTGCATACGGTCAAAGTGAAGGTGGAGGGTCGGTGCTGTGCACAAGTGCAAGGACACCTGCAATCCCATTTTTTCATGAGAAGTGTAAACACAAACAAGCCCTGCCTCAGTTGGCAAACTGTGCTCGTACGAGCAAAGGGTATAAACGGACTAGTTCACAGCGCAAAAGCGCACTTTTGCACGCAGGCATGCGCACGCACGTATGCGTGCACACGACCTTTACTGTCAATGTGTGGGCAGCTGGTTCTACCGTTCCAAAGTTTGCCACAAGTTGTTGAAGATTTGGTCGTTTGTTGGGTGCATACAAAGTGAGTGAGACGTGCGCCACACATTTGAACAGGGAGTTGAATTGTTGTGCATGTCCAACCAAGGCAAATGATCGCCCTTCACCAGTGCGAAACAGCCCTTGAAGCGTGGCACACTCCACCCGCATAGCCAACGGCGGGGACGGGAGCTTGGCCCACTCGTCCTATGTCACCAACTGCAGGGGCAGGTAGCCGTGCTCCTCTGCCCACGACTCTGCATCCTTCACACCCTGCTCGAACGGCAGGAACGCAGACGGTGTACGTTGTGTGGTTGTCAGTGCCTAGATCTTACAGCGCATAGCAGAGCTTTTGATGCACTTGACACGATGTTTGCACACGAGCTTCTTCCTCCCTATGGGAGATTAACGCATTGCTGCATGCAACATGCTGTACAGCCAGGCGTCGATGTTCAACGCGAATCTTGCATGCTACCTGAAGATGCGCCCGATGTGGTTCGGCTTGCTGTTCAAGTTTACCCCTTACCTGATCGTACGTCAGCTGCATGATGGCGAGAGTGTGCTCGGGCGGCGGGTTTGTCGCCCACTCCTGCCACTCGCACGCCAGCACACGCTTGCCGTCCCATGGCTTGATAGGCAGCTTGTTCCACTTGCCTGACAATGTGCGGGCCAAAGGAAGTGTGTCGTTGCAGTGTGCGAGGCAAAACAACCTGGCAGCAGAATGTCGTTATTGTGATGCGACAGGAAAACAGCCAGCAGCGCCTGCAACACGTCGGCTCATCTAGGCGCTTGCTCGTAACACATAGACCAGCCTCATGCGCTTGCAGGGCGGGGCTGGCTGAGGTAGGCCCCACCAGGGTGGATCGTAGGGACCGTCTGATTGTGAGGCACTGCAAAACATGCAAGGGGCGGCGGGGCAGCTTGGCTGCGACGGGTCCCTGAGACGTGCAGCTTGTCGAGAGTGTATGCATTCGGTCGTTCTGTCGTGCCGGGTGCCGGAAACTTGGCAGCTGTTTTGGCATCACCACATTTAGGGATGCTCACCGGGCCAGGCATCAGAGCAGGGGGCCCCCCAAATAATAAGGCAGCTCACCCCAGTCTGGCAAAGGGTAGGGGCCGGCAAGGCCGCCTCTGACCGGCAGCGTGGCGTTCATGCCGCAGCGCTCAGCAACCTCCCTAATGCGCCACTGGCCAGCCAGAGGCCCATTCTGCGGGATGGCAGGGGCCAGCAGCCGGCGGCACGAGGGGACGGCGCAGCGGTTGCCACGGCGGCAGCGCTGCAAGGGCAAGGCGGGCGCAGGCACAGCGTAGAAGCTGGCATGGCAACACATGCATAAGTTGGCATATTAAGCGGGGCAGTCTGTTGCTGTGAGTGAGCTCGTGGGCTCCTTTGAGCTGCGTGAGTGCATCAGGTGTCCACACCTGATACAGGGTCGATGGAATGGGCTCCCTGCGCTCCGGGCTGGCGCACTTGGAGGCGGCCATCGAGGCACACAGGCCCGCGTCGCACGCGCTGTCCCCCAGGGCCCCTATGTGGAACGTCGAGACCTTTAGGCACTCTGGCTGGCCGCTGCAGAGCTGCTCGAAGCCGTTGGCATAGCCTCCTGCGGCGGCAGGTAGAGGCGTGCGTGCGCATGCAGAACGGCCGCATGCGAGTTGAGGGTGGGAAGTGAGATGCTTGCACAAGTCTAGCACGTGAATGGCCAAGCTGCCGCCTGGTGGCAGGAGCGTGTCTGTCGCAGCGTTGGGCGGTTCGACATACGATGTAGCGGGTGGTGCGCAGCGGCGAGGCTGCACGCAGCGCGCCGCCTCACCGTCAATGACGGGCTCGTTGCGAAACATAGTGTACAGGGTTGGGCCTTGGGGAGGTGACAATGGTCAATATGGGGCATACAGGGAGGGGTAATGTTGACAGTAGGGGACGGTAATCGTGGCATCAAGCGGCATGACACAAGCACGCAGTAAGCAAGAAAACAGCCAAGGGTGCGCCCAGCTGGCAAGCGCCACACCAGCACCGGCGCCAGCAGAGCCATCAGGTTTTTGGCAGCCTGCTCGCCGGCGAGCAGCCGCAGCAACCTGATGTGAGGGCTGATGACCCTGAGCCGTAGAGGGCTGATGACCCTGAACGCACCCGTAAAGCAGGGGATGTGGTCTGATGCCGTGAGGCAGGACACCAGGTCGGCTTTGGACGCCCACTCGCCAACCACCCAGCTGGCGCTGCCGTTGAGTGACGTGCGGCCCGCGTCGAGCTGCGACAGCGCCACACGCACGCGGCCGCTGACTGCGGTGGTGGATGCGTGGGCGCGGCGGGGGGGGTGGCAAGCATTGAGGGAGGCCAGGCGAGAGGGATTGGATGCTGGGCTGGCTTCGGGGGGCGCTTGCTTGGGTGCTGTCCCTGGGCAGGGAGGTCGCAGTCATTCCCTGCTGCCCCCTGCACAGCAAATACTCTTATTGCCAAAATGCTGTCTCACATCAATCCTGGATCTACCTTCCACATACGCAACACATACCGCACACATTCAGGCGCGCGCACCTGCAACAGCAGCGGTGCACCTAAAACAGCAGCCGCAAGACCGTCCTCACCTTTGGACGCAGCATCATCCGGCAAACAGTCGGCCAGCCGCTCCCGCAACACCTCATTGATGTGCCCTTTGCAGCTGCCCCACCGCTCGACGCACTCCGCGACCGCACTCACGAAAAACTCGCGCTGCTGGGCGCCGTCGAACCCGAGAGCAGTCAGCACGGCCGTAAGCGCACCACCTGACAGGCCGCTGAGGTGCGACACGCCGGGCTTGATGACCCCCCTCTCCATAAGGACGCCCGCGACGCCGCTGTAGTAAGTGATGAGGAAGGCACTGCCTTCGAACGCGACGGGGATTGGCTGTTGTCGCTGCTGCTGCACCTGCTGCTGCACTTGCTGCTGCTTCGAGGTGCCCTGGGCGGCAGGCGCGCCCAGGAAGCAGGCTGCACATGCAGGTATGAGCAGCAGGACCAGTACCTGGGCAGAAGCGAGGCGGACGCATTTCAAGTGAGGGTAGATTGATGCGTTTTGACACAGCTCGAGGCTGTTCGATGGTTGCGGCAGTGAACGCGCTGAGCATTTGTCATCACTGCCAGGCGGCGACGCCGGCTGGCGCCGCCTCTGCTCCAGGCTGCGGGATCGCAGTTGCGCAGCCTTGTCGTAAGCTATCAGAACTCGAGCAGCCTACCCAATGGATGGACGAGCAGTGCGGAATCATGGCTGAGCCCACGAAATTGTCCACGGGATGATGAGATCGATGCGTGGACTGCAGCGTGCGCAGTGAGACGAGATACCGTACACGTTCGAAGGGAATATGCAGGCAGCCATGCACTTATTCAATGCTGAATTGTTGCTCTGCTCAGCTGGCTGTGGCCGACATTTCTTGATAACAAATGACCCAGTCGGTGCAAACTAATCACCCACCCGGCAAGCCCCAGGTCACACTGCGCCGCCCACGAGTCGTGACAAGTGCGAGTTTGCACTATCGTGATTTCACGTTGGGCCGCGGTCAACCACACAGGCGACCTGAGTGAGCGTCATTTTGCCTGGGGCGTCACCTCCTCGCTACGCTTCACACCACGACAACACGTACTCCTGTGCAGAGTCTGTACACCACGTCGGGTGGACATGATTGCAGGCCCAAGCAAGGAGGGACAAGGGCGGTTGCTTATATATATTCTACGGCACCGCTACCTCCAAAAACCCCCAGCTCGCTGGTCAATCCCCGCAGTGCGCGCCGCTCGCGCTCCAGACCTCGGCCCCTCCGTCACCCCCGCCGCAGCGAGACGTTCTCCGCCTGCAGCGCCGCCACCTCGACCCTCAGCGCGGCGGCCTCCGCCTGCGCGGCCTCAAGGGCGGAGCGCAGGAAAGCCACCTCTTGCTCTGGTGACAGCGCGTTGTTCAGCTGGAGGCTGTTTGAGATGAGCATGGCGCGGCCCGCATATCTGCACGCACGGGCAGGGTTGTTGTTGGTTGGACGATGATATATGCGAGGTTTTTAGGGTGCACACTGCCTTCAAAAAAGTGAGAAGAGCAAGCAGGGAGCATGCGGCATGTTGCACAGAGGGGTCGCCGGACAGTCAAAACGTGGGAGCCCTGAAGCAGCAGAACGGGTTTGTGCGCCTGGCAGCGAGGTGGGAGCGGCAAGGCAGGCGTGGAGCATTTTTGGGTGGCTCACCTGAGGGTTCCCACAGTGTGCTCATGGGATTGGTCGGACGGCGACACGCAGGCTATGAACAGTGTTTCGCTGGGGTTGGGGCGGGG